ATATATGCAGTAGAATAGGAATAGAATACGAAGTGGAAGCAATACAAATGTAACTACAACACTTTTATGGCAATTTTGTGTAGAACTATTTGTAAGTAGAAGAATCTGAAAATTAGAAACTGTATAGATACATCCATAAGCTAATGAAAATTTAATCATAGTTCTAACAAAATTATGCATTAAATTTGAAAAATGCTTGAAAGAAAAGATATATCTGTGTAATAAACGTGAATGTACTGATTTCACTTTTATAGATTTGACTAACAAAAAAATAAAATATAAATCCATGGTTCAAAGTACATGTGTCCACTGACCGACCACTTGATATTTTACCACTTGAGATGTAAGCGGATTAAATTGGATTGTATAAGTTATTTCAGTACTAATAAAAATTTATTCGTTGCTAAATCCAGAGGACATCACAAGATCTTTGCGTCAAACCTTATCAAAACAAGATGTAAATAGTCGATTCTACCTCATATATGTATAATAAAATAAATTTCATATTAAAAAAAATATTTACCTTGAATATTAGTATGAGGAGGAGATACTTAATTTAACACAGATGTATATATTTTTATAAATATCTGACATTAATTAAACAATCTAATATATTGCAGTTAATCGCATTTACTAAATCATTCAGATACATTTTTTCTTTCTAAATAAAATGTGGATTAATCATTGTGTAATTATTTTTACATTATTTTTCTCGTGTGTATTTAATATCAAGCATATGTTATCCTTAATTTGAACTTCACTTTAAGGCAATTTATGCAAAAAAATGCTAATTTGGCGATACTGAAAACGGAATTCGCAAAAACGCAAAACAAGGACCTCAAACACACAAACACTGCGTGTAATTTCTATCAAAACATAATAGATACAAAAACAAAATTGACTTCAATGACGTCAAATGGACAGAGGATTCAAATAGCTGTCAAGCTATTATCCTTAGAGTAAGACATAAAAGTATATCTCCTCCGTGTCAGTCAGCCATATGCTCTAAAGAAAAACCTAAAAAGGAAGAATAAAATTCATTTATGTTTATAAAAAATAATTATTATGACCTTCAGTTCTATTAACGAAAACTCTTACTTCGGCTTTTCATATAAACCCTTTCATTTAAGATTGTTTATAATTATAATATTTTGCAGATGTTTGAAGTTTCATGCACTTTGCAGACTCGATTTCTTCTGCAACAAATAATCTTGAAACATGCGCACATGAAGAAAAAATTTTTAAACGAAAAATAATTTTTTTTAATATATACGTTTTTTTTAAGTTACTTTAATATAAATATAATTATTTTAAATATACAAAAATAAAACAAATTTCCACACAAATGGAAATTATTAATTATTCTCAGTCAATTCATAGTTAATTACTTCACCATCATTTTTGATTCAGTTACCGTCAAGCATCCAACATCCTTGATCCTTAACCCTATAGTGCATAATTTTTTATTAAAAACACTTCTTTTAATTTTCGTCTTACATTTTCAACAAATTTTAGATTTTTTATTTATTTAGATTTATTATTATGATTTATGTAAAAGTATCTAAGATTCATGTATGTTCCATACTCACATACTCCTTCCTTGTTAAAATCATAAAATAATTACTCTTATTCCTTGTAGATATAATAAAATAATTATTTTATGTGTGGATTATTATTGTTCTGTATTTAAAAATATTTTATACTTTACTTAAATATTTATTTATTTTTTAAAAATCTTCGGAAACAGTTACGATCATTATTTGTGATATATGAAGATGACGCTTATGTATATGTCTGTTCCACACAAGTTGGATTTTTACACCGCAATCGGATTACAATTCAATGGCCCAATTTTTTTGACGAAACATTAATAGGACTAGATAATTTCTGTTGATTTCTTCACAATTTGCAGCGTGATAATAGTTCCATAACTTGGTCTTCCTTTTGCAACAGATTTGTGGTGATTTGATGATGATTATTTCATTAGCTTATTAATCAGTTTCATTGGCTTAAACCTTTAGTTTTACACATTCATTCCTGAAATATACAGACGTTTATTACAGAAGGGTTAAAAATATGATTATAGGTCCAAATATACCATTTAATACTGTTAATTGTTATACAGTAATCTTTCAATCCGTTTTTATGTCTCTCCAACTCTTTCAAATAGTTATTGGATGCTGCTACAACAGCTGGAATTCAATTTGGACTTTATTTTTGCACTGAAGCCTTTACGAACATATATAAAATGTGCCACATTTATTCTCTTTCCAGATGGCAGCCATGTTAGTTACAATATATTCCACTGAAATTCTTCTAAGTTCAAGTTATAAATCTACATTAGTAGATCATTTATAATTAGATACTCTATTTTCTTTGATGGTACCAAATAACAAGATTACTAGTAACTCCTATGTCCTTGAAAATAGTATTAACTTTTCTACTTTAAAATCTAGTATTAAACTCGACTTTGCAAGCAAATCAAAAAATTTTATATAACAAGAAAATTAAAAGCTTTATTTATAACTAACTCTTCGCCAAAAAATACTGACACATGCATATAGATATTGGCTATAGCGGTATATAGCATTTCATAATGCGAATTTACGGAATTTTACCTTCAGTAAGTGTTTCACCGCTACTACTGTATAGAAATTATTATAACGAATATTTCTAAACATTTGATCGCTTCAACCTTAACAGGTTCAAGTGGCCTATTGATTTATTTTTGATTTATTTTATACTAAAGAACTTAACAGTGACGTAGCATTAATATACATAATATACAATTTTTTTTTTGAACTACTTTCATAAAAAATAAATATGCACCTAAAAATATAAAATCTACAAAATTGCAAAATAGAGGAAGGATTCTATGATGATTAATAGAAGTAATTTAAGAGCCTCGGAGATAATTAAGACAAAAGTTCCTTACTAGATACTAGAAAATGAGTCGAAAGATAATTATTGTAACGGCTCAAAGCAATATCTATATATAAATCTCTATGTACTATTAGCTAAATCAGATAATATTCACAATTTAGTATACAAATTAATCCCGGAAATGACGAATTATAATCCGTTTAAACGTAGATTTGTGTTGTTTTGATTAATAAATTTATGCTTTATTTATAATAATTAAATATAATAAAAATTCCTACCGAGTTGGTAAATGTATTGGGTGAATATATTCCATAAAAGCAATAGTTTGATCGTAAAGCCTGAAGGGCGATCCAAAAACTACATCGAACCGAACCCAGAAATCAGTGGTAAAATACAGGATGTGATTTTGAAAGATTGTCAATTGCCGATTGCATTAGACGTAGTGAGCAATAGTTTGTTAAATTTTGCGCAAATAGACACTATTTCAAAATCAAAAACATTTTAGAAAGGATATTGATAGATGATGCTCTTTTTTGATGGAATATAGATATATCATCATAACCTTAAATCATCAAAACAAGAAGCTACAAAGGGTAAAATGGAAAATCGAGTCTTTAGCTTCTGAGATTTTCGGATTATGATTCATAAAATATCTTCAGCCTATACATTAAAGATCTGCCTCTTCTTACACCTAGAGAACTATTTTTATAAACTGAAGCTGCTAAAACCACAACATTGGACGAAATAGGTTTTATACATCATAAAAATTTTGAAATAATTATGTAGTATTGAATGGTACTGAAAATTAAATTATATTAAGAACTAAAGAAAAATTATTAAAGAACATTACTAATAAAAACTAAACGCAATTTAGTTAAAGAATACGAAAGTGCTTACTTGTGCAAGTTTTGTTTATAATATTTGTGGCATTTTACTATTTTGAAAATAAATAAATCAACTTTATTAAAAGAAATATATAAACAGTTCAATAATAAGTTTTATTTTATACAATTTTATTTATAATATTTACACAATATATTCATTTTCTAAATAGTAATAAATCAATTTAACATTCGATTTTTGTAAATATATTAAATATTAAAAAAAAACACACTATTTGATTAAATATTTAATATTTAGGATACATTTTTAAACACTTTAATAATAAAAACATACAACCTTACGTTTGTTCTGAAACTAATATATATAAAAACTTAACTAGTCCCGTTCAATCAATATTTAAAATACAATGTGTTTCTTATATTATAGGCAATATATTGGAATATATTGAATATTCCATATAATACAATTGATATATAACAATTCATTATATTGTATAAAAAACAATTGTCTTAGTTAACAAATAAAAATCTCTTTATATTAACAAAATATTAATACCTAATGCGACATCTGTAAAAACAAAAAAAAAATATTTTGTTTATAATCTTTAAATTTAATTATATTTTTATTATATTATATTATTATTTTAATATAATATTAATTATATCATATTATACAATGTGAAAATTATTTGTTGTGAATAGTTGTCTTTAAGGGAGACTTTTTAAAATTCTTTCATCTTTAATATTAGCTATTTTTTTAAAAAAAAACTTATAAAAAAGTAATTTTTTTTAATAAAAAAAAAATTAACATTTTTTTGATTTAAATTTTTTTAAGTAATTTTTTAAAAATGAACTAAATATTTTTTATATTTCTTACACTATTTCAATTTTTTTAAATTTTATTATTGCAGAAAAATTTATTCAAGTACATTTGTGTAATATTTTATCAATCAAATAAATGGAAAAGATTGTATTTAAATATATATATATTTAACAAAAATATACATAAAATTAAATAAATAAAGAACTTTTTGATTACATTTATTTCATTTTTATTTATTTTTTTATAACATTAATTCGAATAATAAGAAGTCTTTCTTTATGTGTTTTAAGATAAAACACATTTTTTTCATGATAAAACATTTTTGTGAATATAAATAAAATTTACTGTTGTGTGGGATTAGTGACTTCCAAAAACTTGCCTTTTAGAATTTTCGATGATGAAGATTTTTTTAAATTGTTATTAAAACCGTATGAAAGAAAGTTTGGCTCGAATTTGAATTCAAGAAATATTGTATCATTGCTTGATAATTCTTGCATAAAAATACAGGAGATAATTAAGGCGAGATTAACAAATAAAATGTTATCGCTTAAATTAGACATTGCAACTCGGATGGATAAAAATATTCTTGGAATAAATATTCAGTATATAAAGGACTTTAAAATATATATCAACACTATAGGTAAGTGTTGCCAAATTTATTCCAGTACAACAGATAATGGAGCAAATATGGTGAAAGTTAGTGAAATACTCCAAGACATACAAGAAGAGCATATAAACGAGGACTTTAATCAAGAGGAGTGCAGCAATAATGATGAAAATATTCACGCAATACTAGCATCGGTATTATCTGTTGTGAGATGCGCTGCGTGAACTACAAATTAGTGAATGCAGAGATGCTGTAAAGCAATTACGAAAAGCTGTTAGGGCAGGCGACATTCATATACAGATGCCCATTTTAGATAATACAACACGCTGGAACTCGACATATGAGATGTTGAATAATTTACTTAAAATGAGAGAGATAATAGAAGCACTATATATTTTGAAAAGTCTGAAATTCCAGATATATCTTGGGATTTCGTTGTAAATTTTGTAACTGCCTTTACCCCATTGGCTATTTGTACTAAACATATGCAAATAGAGCAGTACGTAATTGGTGATTTTTATAGAGATTGGTTATGTGGCGAGATAGAGTTAGAGGAATTAGTAACAAAAACACCATACGCATCACATTTACATGAATCAATGCAAAAAAGGAAACAAATATTTATGGATAGTGATGCATTCCAAGTCGCGCTTTATCTTGATCCCCGTTTTAATTTTGAAAATTCAACTATGCTGTCTGAAAATCAAAAATCAACAGCTGTGGTGCAAATATACTTATATTTATATTTATAAAAATTATTGTATTTTTGAAAATTATTGTTCATTAAACAAATTTTAATTTAATATCTTATATTTTTCATAGGCGTATCTCACAGCAACTTTTGAAAGGTTAACAAAATTGGAGGACTTACGGAAAGTAGGAAATGAACCAGATTCTCCAAATATCTCATCTGATATGATGTTTGAGTTTCCTACTACTTCTGCAGCACCTTATTCAAAATTGCAGTAGCGAGTGATGGCAAATATAACAGCTAACACCGAAACAAATCGCACCTTTAAACAAAAGCTCATAGCACTTGCCAGCCAAAAAGGTGTTCCTCTTGATACTGACATTTTAAGCTATTGGAAAACGTCAAACAATTATAAGGAGATTAAAAAAGTTGCAGCAGTTACATTAGCTGTTCCAGCTACACAAGTATCGGTGGAAGGAGCTTTTAGCGCACTTTCTCTAGTTTTAACTAAATTAAGATCTAGATTAAGTAATAGTACAATAAACAACTTACTAATAACTAAATTAAATTTTCAAGAGCTTAACTCCAAAAATATGTGCTTAAATATTTCTGATAATAATATTTTATAAATTTGTTTTTCAAATTCAAATTATTGTTTCATTATATTGTTTAAATATAAATAATAATAAGCTAACTTAATTTCAAATTATGTATTTTCACATATAACTAACAAATCGCTTTTTATTAAACAGATGAGGTCGTGAACTCTCGGCTCGTGAGACCTCATGAGCAGCTCTTCAATATGAGCAACTTGAAGGCTCACGCTGGTGAGCAGCTCTTTAATATGAGCCAATTTTGGACTCACATAAGAATTGGCTCTTGCTCATGAGCCTGAGCTGCTCATGAGTGAGCAAATACGAACCTTGGCCATAATACTGATGAATGTTAATATGGGATGTCTATTGCTAATAGATTGTAGAAAAGCTTCTATTGCTGATAGACAGAATCGAATTTTGGTATTGTAAACTGCTATACGACAGAAAATCTTCTGTCAGCAATCGATAAATTTGTCTATTGCATTTAAGCAGAAAGAATTCTATGAATCAGATTATGACGCACGAATCTTTCAAACCCTAAAACAACTTATCCCTTAAACATATCCTTAAAAACAGTGACAAAACACATACAATGTGCATTTATCGTTGTGAACGACCGACGACGACCCGACCGTCAGTGGTTTAAAGGACTACATAATAAAAAAATTATAAAAAAGGTAAAAGTGAATAAGTGAAATAATAAAATTGTGAACAAACAAACAAAGTGACTAACGCAGGTAATAATATAAAAAATCATTGATAGAGACAATAAATGTATATAAGTAACATAATCGTATTAATCCGCCCTTGCCTTTAAGCAATAATTATAAACTGCTTCTATAAATTTGGAGAAACGGTTTGATGGCATGATCAACTCATCGTCCTTTAAATTGTTGCTACTTGTTTACTCTAAATTTATAGAAACGGTAAAGTAGCATGTTTTTCAAAACTAATGTATTATTTTTGTATAATGAAATAAGAAATAAAGACTTTAATTTCAACAATCGTGCTGAAAACACGTATTTTATAGTAAATACCTTACTTATAAAGTATACCTAACCTTAACTTCAAAAAGTTAAAAAACAATTAAAAATTGATAGAAACAAGTAAATATTACAAGTGTTTTTAATTATTGTGATAGAAACAAGAAATAGTGCGGCAAGACAAAGAAATAATTATGGCGAAGAAAAAAGAGCAAAAGCCTGAAGCAGTAAGCATAGACATCAACCACATTCTGGCCAAACTACTGGAATACCAGAATAGAACAAGTCATCCAATGTACAACCAAAAAAGATATCAATATCCGCAATTATTTTAATCTGCCTATCGACATTAAGAAGCTAATGCAAAGGAAGAACAAACTTAGAAGCAGAGCGCAAAAAACAGGGAGTCTAGCAAATAAAATGAAAGCGCATAGAGTAACAAACATAATAAAAAAAACTCAATCTTTATCGTAACACACAATGGGAAGAGTTCCTGAAAACCCTAGAAGATGTCTCTAATCAATTCTGGAAAATCACCAAATATTTCAGCCAGAGAAAAATGTTAACTTACGCACCAATTCACAGTGCCTCAGGAATAAAATTTAATATAGTCAATAAGAACGTGACCCATATTAATGCCGGTACGATAGAAGATTACAATATAGTAAAATCCTTGATAGTAACCAAAAAAATTTTATACATTCACATTTCACATTTATACATTTTTATACATTCACACCAGTAAGTGAAAAACCTTTATTACATCTTATTAATAAATTATCCCCTTCGTACAAAGTTCAAGAACTTACTGACTATATTAACAAATTGAAGTTAAATGTAAATATCTTAAAAATGAATAAATTAAATAACTACAGATGGCTGATTCAGTTTGTAAAGACAGAAATTTACATTAGAACATTTCTGCCATACATAATTGTAAATGTAAACCAACGGGCATTCCTGTTCTTTCAAGTGAAATAGTGAGTCAAGTGTATGTATAGTGCGTAATTTTTTAAAATCGGGATATTTGCGGTATAATATAAATTACTTGACTGCTTGTATTAGCAACCTTATTAATACATACCTTACACAAAACGATATTATGTGCGTAGAACGGATGTAAAAAACAAAAGAATGTAAAGAACAACTTATAATTGACCAAATAATATTGGAGCAAGCAGCTAAGCTATGGCTAAATTAAAAGTAATTCTCGGGAATGTAGAACAAATCATATCCTGTATATGGATGCTTTAAAGATATATGCTTCGACGCGAGAAACCTTAGATAACCTTATTAAATAGTCGAGGACTTTAGTAATGACATTGGAATGAAGTAAGACATTGAAAAATGTAAAAAAATCAGCATTGTTCGTGGAAAAATCGTTGAATATATAGTGAACTTAAGGGACATATTCATAAGATAACCAAGGCAAATCTGCAAGGAAAATTTTTAATAAAAACAATCAATATCTTTGCTATTTCAAATGGGCAACGACTGAAATAAAAACAATGCAGCGGAAAATACGAACTATGGTCACAGAATACAAATTTCACCACCCAAAGTCATGTTATGAGCGAATGACTATTTCTGGAAAGGAAAAAAGTAAAGGACTTAATACCCCCACTTGGTGGGTACCTTGTCGTGGTGTGGGGGCTTAGGGCTGCAGTGATTCGTCGGGCTTCATTAACGGGGGTAGCCACACAATAGTATGCTAACCCCTGATAGGGCTTCCCATGTTAGACAAGCCGGCTGATGAGCAACCAACTAAAACCTGCCTGTGTGCGTCTGTTTTCCCCAAAGTAGGGGCGGCACACAACGACGTCTGTTTTTCTCCATGTCAGGGGCGGTCGAGTCCGAGTCTTTTTGTGCGTAGGGTGGCAGACTTTTAAAGAAACCTTACAGGGAGGAGGCGTTTTTGTATAACTAATGTCAACAGAAAATTTTGAAGTTACGGTGCAGGGAGTCGGATCCCCAGTACCGGCGGTAGGTGTCGAGCGAGAGGGGCACCTGGCGTCGAGATCCTGTGACCTCCCAAATCCAAATCAAAACACAAATCTAATTTCAACCTCTAAATAAATTTAAATGGTTTAAAAGTAAATTTAAATAGTTCATGTACTTAATCTACAATGATTTGGATATTGAAGAATACCGTATTTTGATTTTGAAGGAATGTATCGTGTACACCCCCACGTTTTTTAAGGTGTTTTTAGCCTTCATTTAATTTGAAATTTATTCATATTACTCATATTATATAAGGATCTTCAGTATATAATTGAAGAGCTTTATATATATATTAATTTATTAATTTATTCATTTATTATATACCCATTCATTTATTTATTATACCTATTTATCATATCATAAAATAAGTTATAGAATCTACAATACTATAATACATATTGACGGATATTTATAACATTACATACTGATGGTAATGATTAATTTTAATAGTCCATTCTGATGAGTCCGGTTGGTTACCGGATGAAACGCGTAGATGGAAACCTGTTAGTAGATTACTTTGTTGGTCCATACCGACACTTTAGGCATTTCATATACAGACGTTCAGTTTTCGTTTAACAAGCGAAGTGTTCGGACGTATTTCAGCGCGTAATTCATTTGATTACTCCAAAATGAGTGACACCAGCGATGGTGAACGTCTTACGAGACAATTTAAAAATCTCGTTGATAAAGTCAAAATAAAACAAAACATTCTGAATTCGGATATGTTTCAAAAGTTCTGCTATAACTTGAGAAGTTTGCATATGGATCCTGAACTATGTATTCAACTCTTAAAAACTGACTGCCAGACAGAGTTTTTTAAAACATTACTTTGTATTCCTAAAGGAACTATAATCGAAATTAATGGAACAGGCAAAAATACTCTCAAATATATTTTTTCATATAAAAAAATGTCAACTGTTACAATTGAAATTATTGTTTCAGAAGAAATTTTGCTTTTGTACAATAAAACATACATAACTTCTCATAACATTGATCTAAATTCTAACGGAAAAGAAGTTGAAAGCGAAAACAAAACACAACAGCAGGTAGCAAACAGTCACCCCACTAACACTCATTTGTTAGAAGAGAAAGTTCATAAGCTTATTGAAGAGATTCAAAAACTGAATGCCTTACTTTTTGAGCAAGTTGAAGAAAACAAAAAATTGAAGAAACAAATTATTGAAATGGAAACTAAAGCAAAACAAACAACTAAAAATCAGTTAAAGAGACGCAAAATAATTACTGCTTCAAACTCACAAAGTAAGAGAGAATTTGCTCACAAAGATGACATAAGCTCAGATGAAGAGACTGTTGATGAAATTTTGTGTGAAATGGAAGAAGAAACTCTCTTAAATAACTCGTTACAAATTACAACAACTGAAGTGTCAAACATCATAAAGAATCAAGAAAACAAACAAACAACTACAACAAAAATGAAACGTGATAAAAAAATACCATCGATAGTGGTATATGATAATGATCAGAAAAGAATGAATGAAAAAATAATCAACCAAAACATCTGCAAAAAAAATGAATATTATTTTGTTAGAATTAACAAAAATAAATATAGAATATTCGTAAATACAATTCAACAATATGATGCGTTATTATCATTACTTAAATTAAATGGTATTAAATACCACACTTACACACCTAATGAACGGAAAATTATCCATATTCTTTTTAAAAATGTTCCTATGTGCTACAACGAAAATGAAATAACTGAATTTTTGAATTATGATTATGGCCTTAATCCAATTCGGCTAACTAAATTTCAAACCAAATATATGATGGAAAATAATATAACTTCTTCAATGTGGCATGCTTCCTTTGAGCCTAACACGGACAAGAAAAGAATATTCGAAGTCAAATCAATTGGTAACCAATACGGCGTTATTGCTGAAGAATTTAAAAGTAACGGTGTAAGCCAATGTCTCAGTTGTTGGCGTCTGGAACATACTAGCTCAAATTGCACATACAATCCTCGTTGTGTCAAATGCATATTTAATCATGAAATCGGCAAATGTCAACTAGATA